GGAGAGAAAATAGCTCATGAATAGTCTAAGACACATTTAATATTATTGATGATATTCTGTGATAAAACACAACCACAGGGTCGGGATTTGTGTGCTTATTAAATTGATCTCACAATCAGGTAGGAAACTTAAAGGCAATTTATCAGTTAAGGATTTTGAATGTGCCCTGCGCTGATATTTGTTTTTATTTTATATTTTTAAAAAGTGAAGACAAACTGATTGGATCTAATATTTGTTCAGGAAATTTTCCAAAGTAGCCAAATTTGTACCCCTTCCCTTCAGAAACTGGCCTTCTCCTGTTTCAGTTAGTCTTGGCTTATGCTGAGGTGAGAGGATGCTGAATGTGGGAGTTGCATCTCTTTGAAAGGCAATTCCAAACTATGTATTTTTAGGAATATGTTGGTTGGCAGATTCCTTCTTTTTGTGTATGGATCTGCTGGTGTGCAGGAACCCGATGCACCTCTAAGATAGCTATGAGCACTTTATAAGAACTTAATTGCCTTATTCGTTTTAAAAGATACGCCTAATAGAAGTGGGGAGGAGGAGCCCTAGGAAGTAAAACAAGATTTTGACTACTTTAGAGTGAATCTCATGGATTATTTTAGAAACAAAGAACCTAAATCAAGCATTTAATTGAAAAATTGTTTATTTTTCTTCTCATTTGTATTATGCTTAAAACAAGAGAACCCCATTTAAGTTAGGGAAAAGTTATCCTTCGAAATGACTTCAGGAATCCGGCTCCATCAAGTGCTTGAACTTTGTACCCTCCACCCTGGGTAATGAAGACTCAGATTCTGGTCAAATTTGCCCTCCTGAAAAACCGCAAATTAAGATGCTGTTGATTGTATACCGCCGGCTGTTTTAATCATAATCGCCACGTTCCAACTCCGAATACTAAGGAGGCCAGGGGAGACGGCGTTTGGGTTTTTGACGCGCCCTGGATCGAACTCTGCAGTCCAGCCTGCGCTTTTCCAGATGCTTTTGCAGGCCAGAGGCCTCACCAGTCTCTCAGGAGTGGTTAGCGAGCCCATCCCCCGCCCCCAGCAGACCCACCCGAGCCCTGCGGACGACGCTCAGCTGTCCAAACACGCAGCGGCGCGTTCAGTCCCAGTGACTCGCGTGATGATTAACGAGCGGCTTGATCATTTAATATCGCGTGTGATTAAATTATGAGGTGTGGGGGAGGGGAGCGCTGCACTCCCGGCCAACCGGGCGGATGCCGCCAGCCGGCGGGTCTGGGCTGAGCGCACGGAGCCGGCTAGCTCGCTGTGCACTGCGCCTGGCGAGGCTTGAGCCGCGGTCCGCGCCTTCCCGAGGTCAGTAGGGCTGGGGAAGGGCTGCAGAGGGGATGGGAGGGGGTGGGGAAGGTGGCTCGCCTCAGGGACAGGGGAGGCATGGGCACTGCGTCGCTTGGGTTTGAGCCACCAGAAGGGCGAACCCAGACGGCTGGACAATAGCTCCAGGCAGGGGAAATCTAATTTTTACCCCCTCCCCTTCACCGCCACTGAGGTTTGGAGAGTTTCTGGGACCCCGAGACCCCCGCAAAGAGGGGGTACCGAGCCTGGCCCCCACCTTCCGTGCACCTTGACTGCGAGTGGGTTTTACTGGGGACGGGACCACCCAACGCCTCTCTGTTCCCTCAACGGGGCTCACTCTGCCAAGAGTCAGGCACGTGTGGGGGGGGCGATGGGTGTTTAATGCCACTTTGGAGGCTATGGTTGCAAGAGGAGGAGAGACCCGAACCACACTCGGAGTGCAGAGTCTGGGGTCTCCAGCTTGACTCCATGGGAACCTTGTGTGAGTTTCCCCAAGCGGCTCCTAGAGCAGGTCCGCATTACAGAAGGGGCTCTGTCCCCCCGCCCCCCGCCCCGACGCACCTGGGGCGCAGGTCGCCCCAGCGCCGCTGGCGGGACACAGGGCGGATCGCCTCTTATTTAGTGATGGCATTGTAGGGCTTAACAGCCGGGTGAGAGGGCCCTCCTGGATCAAGGCTGTCCCAGATGACCCTAGGAAACTGCACTTGGGGTTTGTTCAGACCCAGAACTGGAGGGTGAACATTGAAGCATCAAGACCAGGCCATGCCCTGGTTGGATTTTCAGCTGGGAAATGGCATCCGGGAGCGGACGCTGTGCGCTTAAACCACACTGTACGGTCTCCTGCAGCCAAGGCGGGGGAAGGGGCCAGGACCCGCGAATGACTGCTGTTTAGGCACAAGGTGCAGTAGCCTGGCGGAACCTCCTTGGAAAAAGGGCCTTACTAGGGCCAGCTCCTTGGGTGTGCAGAAATGACCGTTTCTTCCCCTTCCTTGGGCGACTTGGAAGTACGGTACCACTAAGGAAGAGGGACACATCAGGAGCAGCTAGATGGGCTTGTAAATGGAGGCCACTGTGTACACAGGTGTTTGTGCATATATGTGTGAGTGTAGATATGTTGTGCTCACACATATAGACACACATTAAAAACTCTCAAAATGCTCAGAGAATGAAAAGCAGCCTGCCTAGCTAGAGCAGAAACAAGCCACCCATGGGTTCCAAGGCTCAACCTCAAGTTAGAGACGGAAGCCTCCAGGCGCCCTTGGCCGGGTGTAGTTTAGAAATGGGACGTGCTCCTTTCTTCTGAGGCCGCGCCTCTCCCCACCTCTGCCCGGGCCAGGCTGTAAGGGGACCACTCTCCTCAAGGTGAGTTAGTAGTACAGTAATTACAGAGAGTTTAGGGGCTAGGCTGACTCTTCAACCAAAATTAACTTAGATCTCTCCAGAGGAGAGGCGGACCTAGGTCCTACCTGTGCGCAGTGCTCCATCCCTGGTGCAGGCTTGCCAGAGGGCTCAGGCGGAGGTTCCTGGGTCCCACCGCTGTCCGTTATTAAATTCCTTCCTTCTGTTATGCTCCCGGTCCTTGCTTGTCTTAGACACGAGCTGACCCCTGTGTCTGGTTCTACATGAAAAGTGGCCAGACCCACAGGGGACAACTTCACCAACCTTCTTGACCCCCAAAATCTCTCTCTGTCTCTCTCTGTCTCTCTCTCCTCTCTCTCTCTCTCTCTCACACACACACACACACACACACACACAATAGCGTAAACAATGTGTGCCTTGTGGGAGCAATGCCTTTCCCGGAAATTAAAGGAAACCGGAAACCGGACCGGAAAAGTCACAGGCATAAGTGTGTCTTTGGAAAGAAAGACTCCACGCTCTCAATATTAACCTGGGGATGAGGGGCACGGTGGGTGCCAATTCCCCAGACTGTGGTCAATCTGCCGTCTAACTAAAGGGTGCCAGGATACTAACGACTCCCAAACTAGCAAGATAAAAACTTAGTTTTCTTCTTCTTATCCACGAGATCCCTTAAGTCTGTTGCTTTCGGAAGACACCTGCAAAAATGACGTGGAAATCAGTGGCGCACCGGGTGGCATTGTTCCTGGATGCGTGGGGACGCCGGCGGCGCGGCCTGGCTGCGCGGCCTGGCTACACGTCCGGAGCGCGAGTCAGCAGTCAGCGCGCATTGATTTCACCCCGAGTCTCCGCCCTGCTGCCGAACATCATTTAGGCCAAGATCGGGATAATGGGAAACACCATCAGCAGACAATTACCCTTTCAGAGGATTCACTTCTCCTCACAGACACTGTTATTTGAGAAATAGGATCATTTGATTTCATATTGCACTAAATAACACCCAGCCGGTTCAAATTGCCAGCTTCTTAAAAACCGCCCATTGGAATAAATTGCAGCGGCCTCTTTTGCTTTTCAGGGAAATATGACCGGGACTGGGCAGAACTTGCAAAAATAACTACAAAGCCAGCCCCGAGCAGTCGCTATTGGTGGGAACAGCGCTGCCACCCCACAAGCAAAGACATCCAGGCACTTTGTCCCTTGTCACCGCCCCCTCCGCCTGCCAACTTTGAGAGGATTCAACTACTTGGCTTTGGAATTAAAATGCTCAGCCCCAGCCACCCCGAGAATGCGCCTCGAGCCACCCGGCGCACTAATGTTGAGCCACGAGAGACGGGCAGGTGCGCGAGACAACAGGCTTCTCGGTAGCTTTCAGAGTGTGTGCCTTTGGATACAGCCGCGGAGCTGGGGCCCCGAGGCGTGAGCGTGCGCCCCCCACGGTCCCGGGTCTCAGATCCTAGTGCAGACAGCGGCGCGGCCAACGGTCAGCGCGGGTCCCATCGCTGCATCCTGCTTCCAGGTGCGCCTTGTAGGCCTTTCTGCCTTCACAACCGGCGCCAAGTCGGCGGCCCTGGCAGGGTCTCGCAGGCAGGCAGGCAGGAGGAGAGGGCAAGCGGCCGGCGGCGGAAGACGTTTCAGAAAGATTTAAGCCTTTTGAAGTCGACCACTTACTGTGTTTTGACACTGTTGGATTGACAATTGTCCAGCTGGATGGGGGCGACCTACCCCCTACACTTTAAAAATACATAACATAAGAGTTGACTCCTTGGTCCTTGTTCTTTTGTGCTACGACAAAACTACGTAACTACGACAGCGCGGGTTTGGGGAACCTGTCGGTGGAGGTCTTTATGACATTGGTGTTCATGTACTTCAGGAGGCCGAATTAGATTCCCTCTCTCCTGCTTTTACTGAAGGCCAGATCCTGGGGGCTCCCCGGTGCGCCCTACTCGGGTTGACCTGCAAGACCTGTTAGTGGGTCTAGGGACCCGGACCCAGGTGGCGAGGCCTAGGGGGAAACGGTGGGAGCCTTTTCCCTTCCTTGGCACTGGGAGGAGCCAGGGAGCAGGGAGTGTGGGTTTTCGTCCCGGTGGAAGGTTCCAGGCTCGCCCAGAGTGGGAAACTAAGTTCTCTTCTCTTGAGTGGCCACAGGCTTTAGTTCCGGGCGAGGGTATCGGTCCCTGGGAAGACGGGGGGGGGGGGGCTCCCAAGATGGGGTGATGAGTAGAAGGCTTCAGTTGCCTTCTCTTTCCATCCAGGCTTGTCCTGCAGCCTCTGGGCTTCGTTCCTCCTTCGCACTTTGCTAGGTCATGCTTCCTCCCCGCAAATAAAAGTCTACGGGGAAGGCCCAAGTGTACCCAGACCCAAATCCGGGCCAAAAATCTTGAGCTCCGACCCCTGGGTCTGGGGAGGAACGGCGACGCCCAACTTCCTACGCTGCCGAACCCAGCCCTGCTTATTCGGATCCAGTGCAAGTCCGGGGCTGCCCCGCTGACCCGGGCGGGGGTGGGGGGCCCGCGGCTCCAGGCTGTCCTTGCGCCAAGGCTGCGGCACCTTCGCCTGATGCCGTACTGGGCCCACCCTGGGGGCGCTAGCCCTGCCACGAGAGGGGAAGGCGCAACCAGGGACCTGTTCTTGCCAGGTACCAAGCCCAAGCGCGGCGGCTTTTCCAAGAGGCAGGAAAATTGGGAGGTTTGGGAAAACCGGTCTCGTAGGGATATAAAGTTCACTGCCTGCGCGAACCGAGCCGCAGAGCTCTTCCGAGGAACCGCCGCGCCGCGGGCACCCAGACACCAACTCAGGGCCGGAACCCTGGGGCGAGCAGAGGCTGCCTCGGCGGACTGCACTCCTGGGAACGCAAGAGAAGACTGAGATCAGCGTGGGGTGGGAGCTTCCCTCCTCGCGCGCCTCTCAGGCCGGGGCAGCGCGGTAAACGAAGGACGCCCTCCAGCCCTGGGCTCGGGACGCTGGCGCCCGCGCCGTCCAGGCCTGGGAGCTTCTCGGGGACGAGCTCTGGTGGCGACCCGCAGCTCAGGCCGGATGCCCCGATTCCCGTCCCTACCTCGGTGCCGGTTCCGGCCCCGCGCCCTCGCCCGCGCTCCCTCCGCGCGCCGAGGTTACCAGCGCATTTTGTTCCCTTGTAGGATTCCAGGCCGAGGGGCTGTCACCGCGCTCTCCTCCGACGGACGCTAATCAAGTAATTTCCCCATCCCAGCCCCATCAAATTGCTCTTTAGCTGTTGAACTGCGGAGTTTTGCTCGCTTTTCACATGCTAATCACGCCTATTCAGAGGCTCTCCGTGGGGCTGTTTGTCGCGGGATAAATCTCCTTGTTCGCTCGCTGCATGATTAATTGATATTGTTGTCTGGCTTTTGTGGGGACCACAAGGAGCTGAAAGGCGGCGCGTCGAGACTGCGCCAGGGGCCGCTGGCGACATCCTTGGGCTGCGGAGGTCCCGGAGAGGTCGGGCCGGGGCTGATGACATTATGCGCCCGATTGGGTTTTCCTTATTAGAGAGATGAAAGACGCGGAGACCCCAGCCTTACAACCTGCCACCCGGGCGCAGAAGCCGCCCTGAGCTTAAGCCACAGGCGCAGACAAAGCCCGCGCGTTTGCTCAGTTCAGGGAAACGAGTGGGTGTCACTGCTCCACGCAGGGAACAATTAGAGCTGACTTCGGCCCATCCGGGATTTCAGCAGAGGAATAGAGTGCGGCGTAGGGCATTGGGTTTCCAAGCAAAAGAAAACAACAATAATCTTTTTTGGAGGGGGATTTGTAAAGGCTGGTTAAAACCTTGAAAGATAAGGAAAGGGGAGCCAGAGCTCAGATAAGGACCTTGCAGGCGGAGGTGGAGAAAAAACCCAGCCAGGGGATGTGCACCCGGGACCCCGCGCTTTTCGATTTGCAGAAGAGCGCAGCGACAGCGCCCTCGACTCCAGGCGCCAACTCCGAGCTCGCGAGATCACCAAGGCCCGGATCCGCCTGCAAGCCAGTTTTATTTGCCTCCATCCGTCCCTTCTCCACGTAGTATTCTTCCCCCGCCTCCCTCAGGTGTGCAGCCAAACCAACAAATTCCTCCGCCCTCTGTTCCCCTCCCGCCCTCTCTCCTGCGCCATGGGGTTATATCCTCCACGGACATCCCTGCAAACTTGGAGATTCAATTAAATAATTCCAGTTACACGGTGCTTCTACCACCTGCTTATTGCAAATATTTCTTCTTTAGAGTTCTTAAAAAAAAAAAAAAGCAAAGAGAAGAAAAGAAACTGTCGCCTTCGCTTTCACTGCGCGCGGGGTAATTGATAGGCCCCATCAGAGGTCAGAATTTGCATAAGAATTAAGAGCAGTAAATTAATTTAATATTCCGTGCACATTTCCAATTATTCCTAGAGACCTTTGTCTCCGCGGCTGCCAGAGAGGGGATTCAGCTGCTCTTCAGCCAAACAACATCTGTGCGGTTAATAATTTGATAAACAGCTCATACAAATAGTTTCTGAATTATCTTGCGGCCCAATGACTATTCAGTTTGGAAATGTTTTGGCAGGGTCTCCCGGAGTCCTCTGAGGGCCTCAGGCGCCCGCCCTGACAAATGTCTTCTTATCTTTTAAACATCAGCAGAAGATAATGTGTAAAATAAGTCATTATCATTAAGTACTACCCCTAGCCCTTTTTAAAAAGTCGAAGCTGCCTGGGTCACCGGAGTGCAGGCAGGTCCCCTTTTAAGGCCCCAAGAAGACTAAACAGGCTGTGGCTTGAGAAAAAGCAACCTGTGAGGAAAGGAAGACCTGGAGCTGGGGAGAGGCTCTTAGGGGTGGGGAACTGTTTTTCTTCGGCTCCTTTGGAATTGAGTGACTGCACCTGCGCTTGGAGAAATCCCTAAGGAAGGACTCAAGGGGTGGTTGCTGGAAGGTGGGCTGGAAAGAGATCAACTGTCCACGCACTACTTCTCTGCCTTTTACTTTTCTCCTTCTATGCAGGTATTGTTTATTCAAAAAATAAATACATACAATAAATAGAATGACCAGAAAACAAGGATGAATCATTTGGGCTGGATTTCGTCCTTAATTGACTTATCCCTGTCCCCCTCTTTGATCACACTCCCTCCTTCCCACCTTCACCCCAAGCCAAGGTGCCCTCACCCTGAAAGCAGCCGCCTTTCCCCAGCACAGGTGGGGAAATGTAGCCAGGTGAAACACTGAATTGGCCCAAGGAGGGAAGGAGGCACTTGTAGCCACTCTATGTCAAAACAGGCCTGAATTTAGACACTTACCCCTGGCCATTCTCGTCACTAACACTAAAGATCCCACGATGGTGACGCTCTTTTATCTTTCTGCCACCAGCAGCAGAACCTGTTCCTGATATAAAGTCTAGAAAGCAACCATTTGATCTTGAATGAGACTTGGACTGCTCTAATTCTTGCAACCTGTGCATTGTAACTATTTACTACAAATCTGTGTTTACCCTGGAATTGTTCTGCAGGGACGTCAATATAATAGGATGTTTGGTGGAGGTCTTTATCTCTCTGTCTATACATTCCCTCATGTTTGATGTATACACCTCACACATTCAATATTCTACATTTATGTCCTGTGCTACTGACAATCTAAGTACTTGAAGCCACTGAGAACTACCCAGAAGTTCTGAGTAGTGTCTAAGCAGTAATATGGTAGAGCTTTGTCCTTGTACTTTAATGAGTCCCAGGCAGCATTGAGCTTTAAAGACAGGCAAACCCTTCATGCTATAGGTGTAAATATACACCTTTACAATGAATACAATGCTTGCCTGGGCTCAATTGAAGGATTACTTTTCCAGAAAACAAGTCATTGTGTCACAGAAGAGGACAATAGAATTTCTACCAGACATATTTATTTCTATTTTTAACATTTTCTTCTTGCATTTCATTAGATTTTCCGGGTAGAACTATAGACACTACTGGGTCTCGCAGGCTTTTAGATGCATACAAATCATCTCTGTTATTTATGATTGGGGGTCTCTGTCTGCATCCTTTTATTAATTTCTGACTTTGATTCAGACTTCTCTAGTCAGCGGAGTGATTTGAAAACATTTCTTTGCTTAAATGGAGCATTATCAATTCTTTTGGGAGCCATTCTAATTTTAAACACCAACATATTCAGTTTTTTAATCTGCGACTCTGGTGCTTACTCATTTTTATGCACACAACCTACCTCTTTTGGCAGTAGTTCATTTATGCTCTGTATTTATCTTCTTTACATTTGTTTGACTATTTTTCAAAGCAGTATATGGGTAGAAAATGGCTATTAAACAAGAAGACAGGAAACTCTGATTATATTTCTGACTATGTAAGTAAAATCACAGAAGATTGAAATTTTGAGTTTTGTTTTTTTTTTTTAACTAATGAGCCCTCTCCAGAAAAGCCGTCTGGATACCATTAAAGTTGATGAGTTTGGAAGGATTATCCTGATAAATGCTTGCTTGGCTTTTTGGTGATTAGGCACATATATTCAACACAATCTGTTGAGACTGAGGTCTGAAGTAGGTGGGAAATCTGTAGAGCATAACTAGAATTTTTTTTTTTGGTGGGGGGGAAATCCATGTTACCACTTTCTTGTGTAGAGTTTAATTCAGAGGAAACTGCTACTCATGTTCATGTGGGACTTAAAAACTGGGATGGCAGTTATAAATGTGTTTAACAAATTAAGCAATATAAAATGGTAATTTCCAACCTGTGAAAGATCCCACCTTCTACTTTGGGAACAAAGTTAAAAGAGTGGCCAAGGGGCAGAATAATGATGTTATGACTCAGTGTAATCTCGATAAGGATAAGGACTTTTGTTTTTCTTTTGGTGCTGGAGATCAGAGCCAGGGGCTTGTGCTAAACATAAGCAATCTACCACTGAGTTATATCCCAGCCCCAGAATTTTATTTTTTAATTTGAGAGTTATGAACAGTGCAAAGGCATTAAATTCTCCCAAAACCCCCACAATCTTCCAACTTATTTATTCTCATTGCCCTATAAGTTACAGTAGACAAAAAAAAGTTACAATAGGCACATATATGGCCAGCTTAAACCCAAATCTATAAAATTTATTAATTTATTAAATTCATAATAAAATTATGAATAGGATCATTTAGATAAACCTGTCTGCTCTCATTTTCTTCTGTTTTAATCTTTAAATGAACTGTGCTTAGCTTTCTAGCACCTCCATACATGTTGGCTTGTGCATCAATGGAGGCTACAGAGACAAGTGCAGGTTTTCTAGAGATGACTATAAAATGTCTCTGACCTCAGCTATCCCCTGCTCTTCCCTGTCCCTTTCCCCACTGGGGTGAGAAGCCAGCAGGTTTAACTTCATGTAACTTCAGGGGCACCCTTCACATCATTGTCATTATAGGTGCATAAGGTTTTTCAGATCCTGTTCTGTCTAAGGGAGTACAGTTTCTTGGAAAAAATGGTGCTATTTAAAAAGCTGTACCAAAGACAACATAGGCCAGCAGGGAGGCTGGCTGGCTGTGGTTAACAGGAGGGAGCATGGGTAATGAGGAATGTGTGCCTTCTCTGCTATAGCTTTGGCCAGAAGGTCTAATCCAGGAGACTTTACCTGAGAGCAGCTCCTAGGAATGATTCTGCTTTGCTGCCTCTGTAATGAGGGGAGACAGACCCTGCAAAACAAAAGACTCTTCAGTGTGACATTTGAGACTTGGTATAGTGACTTGTAATCAAAATAGGGATAGAAGAAAAAAAAATTGTGGGTAGAAAAACTTAGAGTTCTTCTTGTCCAGTAACAAGGTGCAGGCACTTGGGTAATTACCTAATCTCCCTGTGTCACAGACTCCTGTTACATATTCTCATCAATTTATTTTCTTCTTCTCGGGCACTTGGCTGTTCAGCTGAACTACATTTCCCAGCCTGCTTTGCAGCCACATGTGGTGCATGTGACTAGTTCTCACCAATGGCACACAGGCAGAAGTGCCCTGCACACTAACAGTCTTGTAATTGACAAGGCTATCTTCCTTCTTCTGGCTTGGGAGTAATGCTAATGGAAGTCATGTACTGAGGATAGCAAAACTCTCATTAGCCTGGGTTCCCAAGTTGACTTCCTAAAGCAGAGTCTGCCCTCCCACTCTGGACTGTTATATGGGGAGAAATTAATTTCTATTTTGATTGAAAAGGTGCATGTTTTGGTTCACTTTATTACAGCACCCACTTAAAGTAATCTACTTCCTTGCTTTATTTTTTCTTAAGTGTTAAATGGCAGTATCTTGGTTTAGGTTTGTCTAAAAGCAAGCAGTTTCTTGGAAGGTGATCTCAGGAAACACCCAAGTTGAGGGCAGAGAAGGTAAGGCTCTATTAAGTGCATTATTCAGCAAATTACCATTGTGGGCAATCAGAAGTCAATTCTATTGGGAGAGCTCTGAGCAGCAACATAGAAAACTTGCCTTACAGTGAGTCCATTGCCATCAGTCCTTAGCTGAGGATATTCTTTGCAACAACTTTCCCTAACACTT